TGATGGTTGTACAATATTGTGAATATATTTAATTGCACACTTTAAGATGGTTAATTTTATGTTATCTGAATTTCACCTCAATAAGAAAAAGAAGGCTGGGTGCTGTGGCTCATGCCTATAATCTCAGCCCTTTGGAAAGCCAAGATGGGTGGATAGCTTCAGTCTGGGAATTCAAGACTAGCTTGGGCAACATAGCAAAACCCCATCTCCACAAAAAAATACAAAAATTAGTCAGGTGCAGTGATAGCACTTGTAGTCCCAGCTACTAGGGAGGCTGAGGTGGGAGACTTGCTTGGGCCTGGGAGATCAAGGCTGTAGTGTGCCAAGATCACACCACTGCACTCCAGCCTGGGTGACAGAGTGAGAGACCTTGTCTCAAAAAATGAAAGAAAAAAAGAAAATGAAAAGAGGCAGGGCACAGTGGCTCATGCTTGAAATTCTAGCAGCTCATTAAGCTGAGGTTGGAGAGCTGCTTGTGCCTAGGAGTTTAAGACCAGCCTGGGCAACATAGCAAGACCCCATCTCTATAAAAAAATTTACAAGTTAGCCATGCACGATGGCATGCACCTGCAGTCATAGCTACGTGGACAGCTGAGGCAGGAGGATCACTTGAACCAGGGAGCTTGAAGCTGCAGTGAGCTATGATTGTGCCACTGCACTCCAACCTGGGTGACACAGCGAGACCCCATCTCTTAAAAAAGAAGAGGAAGAAGAAGAAAAAACAAATAGTTACACCATCAAAAAAGTGAAAAGACAACCCATAGAATGGGAGAAAATATTTGCATATTTGACAAGGCACTTGCTTCCAAAATACATAAAGAACACTTACAACTCAACAGTAAAAAGATAAATAACTCAATTATAGAGTGGGTAGAGGCTTTAAAAAGACATTTTCCAAAAGAATTTATATGAATGGCCAATAAGCACATAAAAAGATGCTCAACATAATCATTAGAGAAATGCAAATCATAACTACCGTGAAACACCACCTCACTCCCGCCAGGATGGCTACAATAAAAAAGACAGACAATAGCTAGTGTTAGTGAGGATGTGGAGAAACTGGAACCCTCACTCATTGCTGGTGGGAATGTGGTGCAGTCACTTTGGAAAACAGTGTGGCAATTCCTTAAAATGTTCAACAGAGTTACCATATGACCCAGCAATCCTATTCTTATGGAGAAATGAAACACATGTCCACACAAAAACCTGTCTACAAATATTAGTAGCAGTATTATTCATAATAGCTAAAGGGTGAAAACAGCGCAAATGTCTATTAACTGATGAATGGGTAAACAAAATATGGTATGCCTATACAATGGAAGGTTTTTCTGGCAATAAAAAGAACTTAAGTACTGATACATACTACAACATGTATGAAACCAGAAAACATTATGCTAAGTGAAAGAAGCCAGACACTAAAGGCCACCTGTTGTATGATTTAATTCATGTGAAGGAGTTGCCTAGGGCTGGGGGTAGGGAGATGGGAGTGGTGACTAATGGGTACAGGGTTTCTTTTTGAGATTATAATGTTCTAAAATTAGATTATGGTGTTGACTGGACAACTCTGTGGATATGCCAAAACCATTGAATCGTACACATTAAATGAGTGAATGTATATGATATATGAATTATAGCTCAATAAAGCTGTCATAGAAAAAAATATAACAAAGAGATTAAAATCATAATGGCAGGCCAGGCAAGGTGGCTCACAGCTGTAATCCCAGCACTTTGGGAGGCCAAGGTGGGTGGATCACTTGAGGCCAGGAGTTCGAGACCAGCCTGGCCAACATAGTGAAACCTCATCTCTACTAAAAATACAAAAAGTAGCTGGGTGTGATGGTGTGCACCTGTAACCCCAGCTACTCAGGAGGCTGAGGCAGAAGAATCACTTGAACTTGGGAGGCAGACACTGCAGTGAGCCAAGATTGCACCACTGCACTCCAGTCTGGGCGACAGAGTGAGATTCCGTCTCAACAACAACAAAAAAAATCATAATGGCAACTGAAACAGTTATATATTATTGAGCAACAAGGTACCTCAAAACTTAGCAGCTTACAGTAGCAAAGATTATATCACACAGTTGCTAAGGGTCGGGGATCCTGGAGTGGCTTTGCTGGGGAATTCTGGCTCAGTTTCTCGTAAGGTTGAGGTCATGTTGCCCAGCTGATGCTGCCATCTCTGGAGATTCAGCTGGGGCTGGAGGATCTCTTGTTAAATTCATGTGGCTATTGGCAGGAGGTTTTAGTTCTTTGCCAGATGGGTCTTTCCATGGGACTGTTCATGACTTAACTTCCCCTAGAGTGAACGGTGAGAGAGGGAGAGTAAGAGAGCCCAAGACAGAAATCGTGGTCTTTTATAGCTTAGTCTTAGGAGGAGCACACCTCCACGTCTGCAGTATTCTGTTGGTCACACAGACCACTCCTGGGACTATATACAAGGAGGTGAATACCAGGAGGTGGGGATCATTGGAAGTCATCTTGGGCCACAATGTTATAACCACATGTATCACAGCAACAAATACCCAAAGTGTGGCAGAAACTGCTTAGTGTCCCCTAATGTCCATTCTTCCTCTTTTCTACAGTATCAAGCCCCTCCTTCCACGTTTTAGCTGGGCTCATGGCTGCCCACTTCATTTTCTAGCCCACCTTTGCAACCAGATTTTGCCATTTGATTAAGGTCTGGCCAGAGGGAAGTATGAGGAAGTGACGGGTATAACATTCTGGAGTGTGTTTACTGAAGAGAGGGGCTGGACGCTTCCAACTCCTCCTGTCCTGTTACAGGTAATATGGATGTTGGCTGAAGCGCCATCTTAGACCATGAGAGCCAGGGCTACACTCTACAGCTGGTAGAGTAGAAAGCTGGAAGCAGCCTGGGTTCCAGGAAAGTGCAGATTTACTATACCAGAGGCATGAGTCTTAGCTCCGGATTTTTATGAGATATTCCATCTTGTTTAAGGATCTGAATAATATAGGTATATAGAAAGTATAATACACATACGGAGAAAATTGCAGTGCTCTGTTGAATGACATACAGGAAGACATAAGTAAACAGAGAACTATACCGTGTCTGTATTTGGGAAGACTGAGTATCCTAAGAAAGGCAGCTGTCTCCAAATCTATACATTCGATGAATTTTTCAATAAAACTCTTGACCATCTTTCTTGCAGAATTTACTAAGTTGGTTCTACAAATTCAAAAAGATTGCAAAGTTCTTTGTGAGAGTAAAGGTCCAAGCATAATCAAGACAATTTTGCAGAATGATACAAAGTGAGGGCTTTAAAATATAAACTTAGTGTCTAAAAGTTAAAACAGAATGATGAGTGCAAAGAGGCTTCAACAGCACCCTAAACCTGTACTTTAACTGTCACATTTAATTAAAAAACAAAAAACATTTATAGCAAGTTTGGCAAATGTTAACATTTATTATGTTTG